CGACTCTACATCAAGCATGGGAAGACACAAAATAGTACCGACCGATTTCAAAAAGCGCCCGACCAATTTACTTGAAATTTTAATACATTAAAATAAACCCACAAAGGCACATATTCACAAGGTTTCAGATCCAACTCCTCAGTTTAACCCAATCAACCAATTTTTACAAAAAGACGATGAAAATCTGAACTTTCTAGTTCACTGGGCAATCCTTTGAATTTTTCAACGAAATTTGGACACAACACAAACAACATCAGATTACTAACACTCACCAAAAATCACAGCAAAATACCAAGAATTCGGTTTTTAATGATTTTTCGAAGTTTCTGTCCAGAATTTCAAATCGTCATTTGATATAGCTACAGACCTCATTTCGACTTGTAATTTTTACACCACGTATTATAATAACCGAAAGTCTTACAGTCCAAATTTTGCAGCAATCAGACAAATACACAATTTATAAAGATTTTTCGAAGATTCAGCAACAATACCGGATTCAAAAATCCATAAGTGACTATTTACTCAACAAAAACGTCTAAGCCCTTCATCATAAGGCCAAAGACTTCAAATGTTCCAATAATCCAAGAGCCAACCACGAGTTAGTAACAGATCATAAGGGTTTCACCTTAAACCCTAAGGATCCATTTTATCTATATCCAAATAATATCTCAACTCAATATATAACTATATTAACCCAAGCATATAGTTGAAAATACGCATATAATCGAACAATACCTAGGAAACCCACCCATTACCGTACTTCGCTGAGGAGGAGACGGGGTTAGGGCTGGATACGGTGCTCTCAGTGGCGGGGTATGATCCGAAGTCCGTTTCCAATGGTACCTCCTTACGTTCCCATTTTCTGCCAAGGTGAGCGACCACTTCAAACATGTTTAAGGGAGGGTGATCCAGAAAAACGATTGGTTTCCTCCTCCGGTGCTCATCACGCATTCCTACAACCACACTCTTCCACGGTTGGGGTAGGATTTGAGCAAGCTTGTCTACACCGTCTTCGTGATCGACAATGGGGTTTTCACCTATAAGCAAGGTGTACCACAAATCGTACACTTCTTGAATGCATCTCCTAACGTTGCTTGGATGAGAGGGTTTAAAATCCACAAACTCCTTTTTTTTCTTTCGATCTACATCCGACATGAAACCTTCGAGGCTGAAGGCCTCCGAGTTCGACCCGACACTCGAACTATTACAATGCATTCCGGCTATGAAGTCCCGTACCAACGGAAAGAGAGGTGTTTCGGCCCTTAGGATGGAACCCGAACGATAAAACCCACGAACCTCGGGCGGCTCACGTTCAGCCTCGGTCCGTGTTGCGACCGATACGGATCTTGCACTGGCCACGAAATCAAGGGTTCGAGGATGATCGGACGGCCCGAAAGAGACCCACGACGGAAAGATGGTCGCGACCTGAACGATCAACGACAGTTGCGTGCTCGGGAGGCGACGGCTAAAGGTGTTGTTGACGAACCTGTTGTGGCGGCAACGGGTTGCTGTTGGTCCGGCGTGGCCTGTTACTGGTTGCCGAGAGGTGTATAACGAGAGGTATGGCGGCTTTCTTTCTTTGTTTCTGCCAGTTCTTCACCAAAATGGATTATGGAGGAGATAAAATATTATACCGGTTTGCATGATAAGGGGGAAATACAAGATGTGTGGAAATATATCATGGGAAGACTTTA